AAAATAATACACTGAATATATTGTACCCTTTTCTAAAAACAATATGTCTCTATGGATTTGTTCTTGATTTAGGGGGTCAGTTTGTGTTATATTATGTGAAAGGCTTAAAAATACAATCCAACATGTACGACTCACACCTGTCGTAAGTCACGAGACATGTAAGAATTACTCACTATAATTGGAGATTTAATCATTTAAAGGTTTTTTGTGTGTTCGGAGATAAACTTTCGTTTTCAAATGAAATTATTTTTTCTCTTTTTGTATAGAAACGATTGCCGATCTTTTGAAATCAATTTCCGTGGGAAATCGGATTCGATTATCAGATTAATCGTTACAGCGCTAACTCGAACAATAATATTAACTAATGGAATGAATGAGGGAATAATATATTTATTAAGGATATTGAGTGAAGGCCTAACCCATATTTTTAACGGGAATGGACAGTGAAATACTTCCAAAACGTGCAAAATATATCATGTGGGATCTTTTATTTACTAAATATCTACAAGCTGTTCTTCGTACCACGGTATGGATGTTTCGTTAGTGCAAAGTTATTCAACGGGCTTTTTGTAAGCCCGTAGGCATACCGGGGGACATGGGTGAAGGAGCTAACATGAAGTATAATATTATGGCCCAACACTCGGGCAACTTAGAGATTTTTATTTTTTAGTTAATCCCTAAAACATATTTCTTGAATATTTTAAAACAAAAATCTCTTTTTGCATCTTGACTTTTTTGTGGATAGCTTGTTGTTGTGTATTCGGTTTAAATGAGTGTTGTTATTGAAAATATTGATTTACAAATCAATGTTCATCTTTATAATGTATTACAACTAGACAACGTTTTTGTCTTGTTGAATAGCCTTCGATTCTCTGCCGTATAGAAGAATAACTGCATAGCAGTAAACTCATAGATGTTTAAAAAAAGTTACTTTTCGTGACATGTATCATAGCCATTCAAAATGTATACTGCGATATCAGGTGTTCTTCCTGAAAAGTAACTCCTTTTCCAATGGTCTTTGTGGAGGTAATATAAAAACAAAGATAGTTTTCATGTGAATCCTAATGTAGTATTTACTTTCAATTAGTGAATAACTGCTTTCACGACAAATGTTTAATTAGTGGAATAGTATTTGTGGTTAGATGATATTACAAGAACCATGCTTTAAAAACATTTTGAACATCTTTTGTTTGTACTCCTCTGACGATTTTGACAAAACTAAGCATATAAACCGGAAGTGTTAAACTGTGTAAAAAAAAAGTGACAAACATAAAATATGTTTTCTATCTCCGCAAATTATTGAACAATGAATCAACATGCTATGGTTTTAAAAGATGACTTGTTATCTAGGACAGAAGAAGAGAGACAAAAGAAGCAATATCACACACTTTACTGGCTCTGTAAGCAGTATAAATGACATCAAACGTAACAACCACTTTAATCTTTTCCTTACAGCAAAATTCCCTTTAGACGACTGTAAAACTGCTAACAACTAGCAAATGCAATTTCCTAAAGCTTCATCAGCTAGAGAAAAGATTAACTGCAATTTATATAAGTCGCTTTCCTACATGGGTTTCTTCTGAGACCGTATAGAATTATCTAGCTATTGGCAGGTGAATTCATTAAGATTCTAGTTATTTGTGAGACTATTTCTATAATGCACTTCAATCATTTTCCAAATGGCCCGGTTATTGGTAGATATGATTCTCTAAGGTTCAGTTTATTTGTGGAAGTGCTTCTGGAATTTAGTTTTCTTTTATTCTTCAGGCAAAACCTTAGAGGCAATTTAACAACTTACTTAAGATTCAAACACATTATGATATTTACTCCACTTACAAAAGAAGTTCATATTCTCGCATTCTATTAAATTATCCTCGTGTACTTGAAGGATGATCGTGTAGGCTACCCACAATAACAATGAAATAAGGAGAAGATACAGTAACGGGTAGGCTACCCACAATAACAATGAAATAAGGAGAAGATACAGTAACGGGTAGGCTACCCACAATAACAATGAAATAAGAAGAAGATATAGTGACGGGTAGGCTATCCACAATAACAATGAAATAAGAAGAAGATACAGTGACGGGTAGGCTACCCATAATAACAATGAAATAAAGAGAAGATACAGTGACGGTGATCGGGTAGGCTACACACAATAACAATGAAATAAGAAGAAGATACAGTAACTGTGATCGGGTAGGCTACCCACAATAACAATGAAATAAGGAGAAGATACAGTAACGGTGATCGGTATACAGTAACGGTGATCGGGTAGGCTACCCACAATAACAATGAAATAAGAAGAAGATACGGTGATCGGGTAGGCTACCCACAATAACAATGAAATAAGAAGAAGATACAGTGACGGGTAGGCTACCCATAATAACAATGAAATAAGGAGAAGATACAGTGACGGGTAGGCTACCCATAATAACAATGAAATAAAGAGAAGATACAGTGACGGTGATCGGGTAGGCTACCCATAATAACAATGAAATAAGGAGAAGATACAGTGACCGTGATGTGCAACAGCAGGATTTTTCAAGCAACCAGTTTTAAAACTGTCATTCGTAATCAGCCCTGTAGATCTGGGCTTTTGTAGATTAAACATATCAGAAGCTCGTTTCTACGGGTGCCTTACGAATCAGGCTGATGTCACCACGAGAAACTGCCATTGAAAGTATTTTCGTGTAACTCTATAGAAATAGTTCTGCAAAGTGGGAAGATTTCAAACATGTTTTTTTTTTATTATTCATTTCATAAAGGTTTAGTTTTTGACACCACTTCTTTATTGATAGAAATTTAATAAATAATTAAAGTCGTGTTTAATCAATCTTAGTTTGGACGGTAAATATTTCAAAACTTATGAATGAAAACAAACAAGAACGTGTAATAATGCGCCCACCACACTATACCATAACCAGCGCTGACGAGGCCTTTCGTTCAATATCAGGACTCACCAGGCTGGCTGAAATAAGACAGATAATGTAGTGGATTAGACTCTATTTATATAATCATTTGCATGAACAAGAACTGTAATGGTATAAAATATATAATTACGTTAAAAATTTGTACAACAATAGTGGTGTATTTTTTACCACTTTTATATACATTCCTAAAGGTCAAGAACTTCCTATCATAAAAACAGTTGCTTCAGTGTACTCTTTTACTGAACACTGTGTGTTGCTACTTGCAAGCAAAAAAATATTAATTTCTAAATAAAACATATTATCCTGTTTTAACATATTTTCGCTAGATGCTTTGTGAGTATTAGGGTGTAAATATACTAACATACACAGCGAGGTCACAAGTAAATAGACACCATCTTTTCAGAAAAAAATGAAAATTTTCAGTCATATTCACATGAATTGATATATTCATAATTTAATTAATATCTAGTAGATCTTCCTTTCGCTTCATGGAGTTCGTTGATCCTTTGGAGCATCGTGAGAATCATCTCGTCAATTTTAGATTGTGGGATCTTCACCCACTCTTGCTTCAAAACTTGGAGTAGATCGTTCTTCGAAGTTGGTTTTTTTGGTTGTTTCTTGACTTACCGGTCGAGTATGGCCCAGAGGTTTTCGATGGGGTTCATGTCAGGAGGTTGGCTCGACCAGGGCAACTTCTGGATACCATTTTCTTCCTGCAACTTTTGGGTGTTTCTAGTAGTGTGACACGGTGCTCCATCTTCCTGGAACAACGTTGTGTTCTTATCCATGAAACCCGAGGAATAAAGTGGCAAGAGTCCTTTCTCCTATATTTTGACGTATTTCGCAAAATTTATGTTGCCAACGCACTCCACTAAGCTCGATCTCCCACCAACCCAAATAGCTCCCCAAACCATCACGCTGAAACCACCATGCTTCACAGTTGGCTGCAATCTGTTGAGCCAAAACTCTTGGTGAGGCATTCTCTCGACCCATATCCTTCCACTGTCCGAAAATTGAGCGAATCTTGATTCGTCTGAAAACAATACGGTCTTCCAAAAGTCCAGAGGCTTGGTCATCATATCACTTGCCCACTTCTTTCGTCTGACTATGTTGGCAGGTCTTAATAAGGGGTTCCGTCTAACTGCTGTGCTTGGGGTTGCGAGGATAGGCTCCAGAAAAACAACTTTTTCTTGGTTCATTTGCCGTTGCCGTTTTTACTAAATAATTCATCTAAATTCGGGAACAGAATATTGATTACGATCTTCAATTAATTCACTATTGTGATTCTTTCTTCCTGTTTTAAATTTTTTATTAAACATACGCCTACTATTTACGTCTCATGATAATTTTTATTTTTATTTTCAGAGATCCATAATGGCGAAGAAAAGAAAGTGGAACGATGATTCATATCATTTTGGGTTCACATGTACAACTGAGAGAAGTAATATTTTCTAATGCAAATTTGAAACCTTCCAAACTCAGCGAACATTTCAACTAAGTACATGGTGGTAGAGAAGCTGGGCACGATGAAGAATCACTGAAGGTGAAGAAGGCACGTTTTGATCGTCTAGGAACTCTGCCAAAGTTAAGATATGTACCAACTGAAAAGCCTGTTCTTGAAGCATCCTATCAAGTTGCGTATCAGGTGGCCAACGCGAAAAAAACCTTATACCATCGCTGAAGAGCTAGTGAAGCCATGTATCCTTGAAGTTGTTAAGACCATTTTGGAGAAAGATGCGGAAATGAAGGTGCAACAAGTACCAATGTCTAACAATGTCATCAGGAACAGAATAATTGATATGAGTGAGGACATCTTGGAACAGGTGATTACTGATATCAAGACGCCTTCTGTAAAAACATCATTGCAATTGGATGAATCTACAGATGTTTCCCATTGTAGCCAATTGATTGCTCTTGTTCATTATGTCAAGAATGAAGAACTATTAGAACACATTCTATTTTGTGAACCACTAAAGACCACCACAAAAGGCCAGAACGTGTTCGACCTCATAAAATAATTTTTCTTAAAACATGGATTGAATATGAACATCGTTGGTTCCATATGCTATGCTAGGAAATCGGTCTGGATTTGCAGCCCTCATGAAACGGGAAATTCCTGAGGTCCGTGTCACACACTGCCTGCTTCATCGGTATGCACTAGCAGCGAAGACTTTACCAAAATGTCTGCAAGACGTTTTGTCAACATGTGTGAAAAATGTTAACGTAATTAGACGACGTTCACTGAACCATCGTTTATTTCAATCGTTTCGTGAAAGCATGGATTCTGAAAACACGGTTCTACTATACCACACGGAGGTGAGATGGCTATCCCGTGGACGTGTCTTGCAGCGTATATTTGAGCTTCGTAAGGAGATCAAGACATTTTTAAAGGATCAAAAATTGGATCTCTTTTCTTCATTTAATTCCCCAGAGCTTGTGCAAATGCTAGCATACTTGACCGACATATTTACTCACTTAAATGAACTAAATATTTCCCTCCAAGGAAGTAATAAAAACGTGGCTATTGCACATGAAAAATTGGCTTCCTTCAAAGCTAAAATTCCTTTGTGGTTGAGAAATATTGAGAAGGGAAATTTGGCTAGGTTTCCATCGCTGGAAGAAGTTGTTGAAGAACACGAGTCACTACTTCCAGAAGTTGCCACAGCAATACGCATTCACCTTGAACAGCTATTATATGCCTTTGATGGGTATTTATTTCTGTGCAGGAAATTTGGAAGCCAGCGACTGCTGGATAAGGAACCTGTTTCTGTTTCAGTTAAGCCTGACGAAGATCCTTTCAAGGAGGGAATAATTGACATAGAAAATGATCATACTGCAAAAATGGAGTTCGAAGTAAAAACTTTGGAAGATTCCCGAACATTTCCAAGAAAGTACTTACTGTACTTGTTCCCTTCGCAACAACATATCTTTGCGAAGTAGGGTTTCGACTCTTCTTTATGTGAAAAGCAAGTTTCGAAATCGCCTCGATGCTCAGCACGACATGCGCATCGCTCTCAGCAAAAAGGAACCCCGTATTCCAGACATAATTGCGAAGAAACAAAAATAAATGTCACATTGATAGGATTTGATATGAGTTTTCGATACTATGTACATCTAATTTGTGTAAAAATAAATTTTTTCTGACTCATGATAACGGGTTTTCTTTTCCGGCAAACTCTCACAGACACACATACACACACACACAGGCACACAGACACACACAGGCACACGGACACACACACATATATATAAATTTTTCTGACTCATGATAACGTGTTTTCTTTTCTGGCAAACTCTCTCTCTCTCACACACACACACACACAGGCACACAGACACACACACAGAGACACACGGACACACACAAACACACACACGGACACATATATATAAATTTTTCTGACTCATGATAACGTGTTTTCTTTTCTGGCAAAATAAGTGTTTTTCTTCTTTTCGAAAAATTTGTGTTAATTAAAAATACTCATTAATTGGTACTTAATAATTTGACCTAAAAAAAATCATTTTTTACTTTTAACTCTGGGGTGCGAGATGGCATTTCAAAAATCTCAAGGGGTGCCAGCATTGAAAAAGGTTGGGAACTACTGCTCTAGTCTCTCAATTCAAAATAAGGGACGACTACGCGCAGCTATCCTTTGTGTAAATATTATGAGATAAATAATAACGGATTGAGAAGAATTTGTGAAAGACAATCGTCCACTTACTTTATTGTTATTTTATTTTAGTTTGTTAGGTGTGTCGTTAAAAAATAAAGACTATTATTCCTTTGATATTTTTGATAAAATATTCATTTACATGCGCCTTTATCTAGGAATTTCACCTTAAAAATAAACAAAAATTAGTTTCATTTAGCTAATCTATTTTTCGGGTTTTGCAAAATCATATAAAACTAGACTTTTTCAATTTTCAAACATGGTAAAAATCTTTCTTCCAAAGGTCCATTAATGTTGTGTTTTTTTTTTAATCTAGATTCCTTGCGTTACCTTCTTCTCTATAATTTTTCATAAAAAAGCACAAAACATTTTAATTAGAAATAATTAGTAAGTATACCCACGCCTCGTGCGTCAGTTATTTCATTAGCTTCACGGGAATGGGGGAATGGTGTGCGTATGCGTCATTCGCCATGCAGATCTACTCAACACGAACTATCAGCAGAGGTACCGAAGCTACGTGCAACATAGAAAGTATCGTTCGTTTAGAACTTGCCCGGCATGGCCAGATGGTTAGTGCGCTCGACTCGCAAGTCGAGGGTCGCGCGTTCGAATCCTTCCCACCAAACATGCTCGCCCTTTAAGCTGTGGGGGTGTTGTAATGTGACACTTAATCCCACTATGCGTTGGTAAAAGAGTAGCCCAAGAGTTGGCGGTCGGTGATGATGAATAGCTGCCTTCCCTCTAGTCTTACACTGCTAAATTAGGGACGGCTAGCGCAGATAGCCCTCGCGTAGCTTTGCGCGAATTTCAAAAACAATCATATAATGTTTTTTTGTTGTTGTTTTGTTTTTGTGCTGACATCTAGTGTCAATACATGTTGTTAGATTTGCAGAACCAAAGAGAAATCTTTCGAAATAGCGGATAATGCTAAAATATCCAACCACTCTACGAGCGATAAGTAATTTTTAAAATTATACAAAACGCCTAAAACAATAGTCTTACTAAAATGGTGGAGTACATAATAAGTCTTTAATTAACTAAACTGAGAATATTTATATCTAATTACTTTCATAAATATTTTTTATTATATCAGTAAAGAAAAATGCACGAATTAGAAAATTTTAAGCATATATTGATGGTAACTTACTTTTTAGCATGAAAATGATTGGTCTGAAGCATATTAGGTATTTCTGTTTTTAATTTAGTTTTTTATGAAACATGTTAATAAACTGGAAAATTCAAACGTTATCAAATAAATATATTTAACAGTTGGGTTGTATAAGTATCCGACAAAACAAAATCTATCATGCAATAATAATATATATTTTGAACATAAAATACAAAATATATCAATTAACATAGAGGCAAATGTTCAATATTTTAAGATAAATTTAAAATGTAACACATTCAAATAATAAATGTTTCTTACACCCCAAACTCAATTGTTATTAATCAGTGTGAAAGTTAATCAAAATTGTAAACTTTCTATTTTTTACAAAAAAGTGAACATTAGCAGTATTTGAACATCTTTCAAATTCACCCATCGGTTGAGATGGGATAGTACATCTAAATCTTGCTAATTTATCTACCTTTAATTGTTTGTCTGAAGTTAAGCACAAAGCTGTGCAATGGGTTATATGTGCTTTGTCCACCACAGGTATCGAAAACCGGTTTCTAACGTTCTAAGCCCACAGACACACCGCTGTTCCACTGGGTGTTGTCTATCTTTAAGAAAATTGTTAATCAAGTTTCATATTCTATTGTTGTTTTGGACTCTCATATAATTTCTTAGTTTACATTTTCTTCGCCTCCTTTTACATAATAATTTTTATAGACTTGAAATGTAAAAGAGTAGACACTTATGGTTGTTTTTCTTGAATTTTTCGTGCAAAGTTACCCTAGGGCTATCTGCGTTAGCCATCCCTAATTAATGTTCCTCAATGTTGTTGGCCTTAACGACATAAACAGGCTTGAATATTTGATAATAAACAAATGTCTAAGTTTGTATAAAAATAACGGTGTATATATATGTGTGTGTGTCTATATTAGATCATAATTTAAAAAACACTTTTCACCATATTTTTTTCTAGTTTTCACCAAACTGCTTTTACCTCCATAAGTTATCGTTCTACATTTCAGACACTATTTCTGGTGCTGCGTCAAAAGAAATATAACTTAATGAATTATTTTTCGTATATTATTAAAGACATTTACAATCCATTAAAAATCTTATTCTATCAAATCGATTAAAGGTGCTCTCTAGCTACAAAATTACTGAATTGGACAAATTATATATTTTATTTATTTAAAAGGACATAAGAATAATTAAATTTTTCATCATATAAAAATTATCTAAAAGACTTAATTCATATTTTAAGAAACTAAAAAATTCCCCAAGATGGCGCTAGTAATGACACTTTTATAGCTTTGTAGGTAAGCGCAAAGCCACACAATGGGCTATCTGTTCTGTACCCACCACGAGCATCAAAACCCGGATTTTAACATCGTAAATCCGCAAACATGCTACTGAGCCTCTAGGGAACCATTTTTATAAATCAACATAATGAATAACTTGTAACGATGTGTTTGTTTGTTTTAGAAAAAAAGCCACACGGTGTTGCCTACTGTGTCTTCCCGCTGCATTCATTATTTATAATGCTGTCCTTCACAGCAAATGCCATATCTCCAAATACACTTACCATCAGAGATTCACTAGTACATACTCAAGAGTCGGCGTACCTTTCTTTCTTGAGCTTAAGTCTTTGGCTTTTACAATGGTCATCGTTGTGTGTGAAGCCAACTTAGTTTTGACTCCAGAGGTACCTCTTGTTCTATATAGAGCCAAAACCGATTTTTAATTTTTTCCCCCATATTTAGATACCTTACGAACTCCAGGAGTTTTTTGTGGGGGGACATTTAGTGCTGTCTGCTCACTTTCTTTCACAGTAAATTACGGGAAAATACGGTATCGATGAATATGGGTCATGATATTGAGCATTTACCAAAAGTACTATTGTTGAGTAGGAGTAACAAAGGCTAAAGTCAGACACGTTATTTCGAATACAACAATTGTTGGTCGTCTTTCTACCGAGTGTTCTAGCGTTTTTATACACATTCACAATCGTGAAAGAAGCATATTTTACGTTCTGAATTTAAAGTTGGTTTTTATTTTTAATTAAGATAATGTATATTCTTTATATTAAGGTTTCCTTTTACAGGCGTTATACAGAAATCGCCATAAGAACAATACTCTATAAATTTCACGTAAATCGCGAGAATAACGGATCTACAAATTTTACAAAAAAGTAGCTTTTTGCAGAAATAACATATTGAACATATAAAATTCCATTTGTTGTTTTTTTTATCAGTTGTTGTGGGACGGGGTTCGAATCTCTGTCGTGATAAAGATGAGATCCTGGACTATCGTTGTTAGAGTTGGGCCTGATTTATTACTTATACTACTTCACAACATTAGTTCACGCTTTGTGTTTGTGAATTGAAGCTTCGGTGGATGGAACGGATCAATTGTTGGACTTTTTCTGCAGTTGAGTTTAACGTTTGGTTTATTGTTGTTATAAATAGTTTCTAAATTTGGTTACTTAGTTTGTACTAATAGGCGTCCAAGATTTATATATTTACGATTGTATTGAATGCATTATTGTTTGTCTGATGTGGTGGAAAGCTGAGCTGAAAGGGTTGTTTCTTACTAGACATCGTGTTAAGCCCTATTCCAAACTCGGCAATGACTCAAAGAAATTCATACCGTAGCTTACTCCAACTTTATGGAAAACTAGATTATCCTACATTCACTGAAGTTACTACCACGCCTTCATTTGCTAAAGTTACATTTTGAGCATCGCTTACCATTCCTATTTCTGTCATAACATTGTGAAAAACTTCAGTAACACCATCTTCTATGCCTCATCCAGTCAGTTTTGTCATAAGCTTTTATGGGTACCAGTTAAGTACACACTTATATGTTGTTTTATTGTCTCAACTGGACTCCAAGTTCTATACGACTCGTACACTATTTTTGAATATCTCTGAGTATTGTGTTTGAGCAGACACCCACCAACTTATACCAATTCGTAATGGAATCACTGTTAAGGCCTAGAATTCTCAGCTCTTTGACATTCTTTGTACTAAAATGGGGATAAAAAATGTAGGCCTTAATACCACCATCCAGAAGATCGAATCCCCTTCTCTCAAACAACAGCCTTCACCTTGCCGAATTCCATTATTTTCATGTATCATTTCTGAAGTAGACCCAAT